AAAATCGATAATCCAAAAGTATTCATTTAGAGAATTTCGCCGCACATATAGTAACAAATAAATCTCTTTTTCGCTTACTAAAAGTACAATGTAATAGAATAAAATACATACACTCCATCTCCCTCTCTTTCCTTCTCTATCTCTCTCTGACGCACACACACACACAGAAACACAAACACACATGCTCGTACACAATATAAGACATTTAAGTCAATATGAATAATAACAATACAAATAATAACGAAAATAAAACAATTTACCAACTCTGATGGACTATATTGTAAACATCCTTAAAGCTAAAAGTTTGGAAACCTAATGATTTTTTAATTCTGTTTATAAATACAACTTTCAAAATAAAATCTTTAGAGGCCATGAGAGAACAAAACGCGTTGATAAAGAATAGTTTTACGTTTTACGTATCAGAAATAGTGCGTATGTACATATAAATATAAAAGTGAACAATGAAGTCAACAGTAAGAGGTGACAGGCTGTGTTATGCATAAAAAACAGCCTATATATATATATATATATATATATATATATATATATATATATATATATATATAAATATGTTACTAATCATTAACTTAGTCTCTTTCATATATATATGTATATATATATATATATATTTGAATAAAAACAAACCACTTTAAGGTTTCATGTAATAAATTATTTCACCACAGTCCTTTTAAATGGCTCGGGATCATCAGACTTTACTTCCAAAGGTTGAAATGATTTTTTTTTCCTTTCAACCTTTGGAAGTAAAGTCTGATGATCCAGAGCCCTTTTAAAAGGGCTGTGGTGAAATAATTTATTACATGGAACCTTAAAGTGGTCTGTTTTTTATTCAAACATATTTGCTCTGAATTTACATTGAGCTCTCCGGATATCATCCTCCTTGGTTCTACCCATGCGGATTACCTAGTTTTTGCATAAACTAAATATATATATATATATATATATATATATATATATATATATATATATATATATATATGGGCTCCTGAAAAATTTATTTCGGTTGAGCTCTAAGCGGGAGGAAGTATGGGTTTTTAAATAGTGACTATTACGGCTATTACAGCAAGATAAAGCGAATCGGTAAAGCGAATCGGTAAAGCAAATCGAGTTCTCTCAGTTACCGTGTGTTTATCTAAAAATAAATACGCTAAAATTCACAATGGCAACAAAGATGAGGACAATAGTCCGAATAATGTAAATAGTGTACATAATACCTCATCTCAGAAATATAGACAGATACTGAAGGGCCGAAACGTTGTAATAAATATGGCGACAAAGATGAGGACAATAGTCCGAATAATGTAAATAGTGTACATAATACCTCATCTCAAAAATATAGACAGATACTGAAGGACCGAAACGTTGTAAAAAATATGGCAACAAAGATGAGTACAATAGTCCGAATAATGTAAATAGTGTACATAATACCTCATCTCAAAAATATAGACAGATACTGAAGGACCGAAACGTTGTAAAAAATATGGCAACAAAGATGAGGACAATAGTCCGAATAATGTAAATAGTGTACATAATACCTCATCTCAAAAATATAGACAGATACTGAAAGGCCGAAACGTTGTAATAAATATGGCAACAAAGATGAGGAAAATAGTCCGAATAATGTAAATAGTGTACATAATACCTCATCTCAAAAATATAGACAGATACTGAAAGGCCGAAACGTTGTAATAAATATGGCAACAAAGATGAGGACAATAGTCCGAATAATGTAAATAGTGTACATAATACCTCATCTCAAAAATATAGACAGATACTGAAAGGCCGAAACGTTGTAATAAATATGGCAACAAAGATGAGGACAATAGTCCGAATAATGTAAATAGTGTACATAATACCTCATCTCAAAAATATAGACAGATACTGAAAGGCCGAAACGTTGTAATAAATATGGCAACAAAGATGAGGACAATAGTCCGAATAATGTAAATAGTGTACATAATACCTCATCTCAAAAATATAGACAGGTACTGAAAGGCCGAAACGTTGTAATAAATATGGCAACAAAGATGAGGACAATAGTCCGAATAATGTAAATAGTGTACATAATACCTCATCTCAAAAATATAGACAGATACTGGAGTGTGTTTTGTTTTCATATACACTTTTATTTAAATTCCTAGATATTTCACATATATCTTTTTTGTGACAAATTACAACAATTTATCCCATATACATACATACATACATACATATATATATATATATATATATATATAGATAGATAGATAGATAGATAGATAGATAGATAGATTGCAAAAGCAGCGTAACTTTGGAAAAGATCAAAGATTAACTTGGCCTTGGTGAATGTAAATGGTTGGATTTATTATCAAATAAGGAATCTGTGCCGACATTAATAAGAGATTTGTAGTCAAGCCAAAGGAGCACCCATGAGTCAATCCTGCTTGCTTGATTTAAGTCGATCAGTTTGCTCTCTCTCACTCTCTCTTTGCTCTCTCTCTCTTCGTTCGTTTCTTTCATTCTCCTTCTTTTTCTCTTTCTTACACTCTTTCTTTTTCTTTCCCTCTCTTTCTTTTTTTCTTCCTCACCCCCTCTCTATCTTTTTTCTCTCTCTCTCTAAACCGGTAGTCTCATATCTAGCGATCTACTGGGCCCGAATTAACTGTAAATAAAACTCCAAGCCCAGCTGTTCATATTCGATTTCTTCTTAAATCCAGTCTTTCGTCCATTCCTCTTGTCGGAATATTCATTTAAAATTTTCTAACTCTAAGCTTGTTTGAGGATAAAGTCACTTGGTTCAGATCTTTCTCTTTCAAATGCTCTCAATCTATTTCGCTTTCAAGTGACTTTGTTTTTTCTTCCATTCTTCCATAGACGATGGAATCGCCTGTAAAAGTACAGGAGAAAGTTACGGATGACAAATGAAGGAAGATATGTAAGGAGAAAAAAAAAATCGAACGGGAAAGAAGGGAGCAAGTAGTAAAACAAAGAAACAAAAGGAAATAATACTAAATAAGAAAGAAAGAAAGAAAGAAAGAAAGAAAGAAAGAAAGAAAGAAAAAGAAAAAGAAAGAAATGGAAAGAAAGGGAAAGAAAGAAAGCAATGGAAATAATGATAGTAGGACAAAGAAAGAAAGAAAGAAAGAAAGAAAGAAAGAAAAAATGGAAAAAATGGAAAAAAAAAAGCAATGGAAATAATGATAGTAAGAAAGAAAGAAAGAAAAGAAAGAAAGAAAGGAAGGAAGAAAGCAATGAAAATAATGATAGTAGGACAAAGAAAAAGAAAGAAAGAAAGAAAGAAAGAAAGAAAGAAAGAAAGAAAGCAATGGAAATAATGATAGTAGGACAAAGAAAGAAAGAAAAAAAGAAAGAATTTGTAAGCAATGGAAATGATGAAAGAAAGGAATCAATGTAATAATCATAGTAGGAGAAAGAAAGAAAAAAGAAAAAAGTAAGAAAGAAATGGAAAGAAAGAAAGAAAAAAGAAAGAAAGAAAGACATGGAAAGAAAGAAAGAAAGAAAGAAAAAAGCAATGTAAATAATGATATAAGGAGAAAGAAAGAAATAAGGAAAAAGAAAGGAAAAAGGAAGAAAAAGAGAGAAAGAACGAAAGCATTGAAAAAAATAATGACAGAAGTTAAAAGAAAGACAGAAAGAAAGAAAGAAACAAGAGACACAAACAAAGCGGTAGCCAGAAGAAAAAAATTAACGAAGAAGATTAGAAAATAAAAAGAATATAAAGATATGACAAAGCAGCAGAAGAAGAACAGAGGGAGAGTGAGAGAGAGAGAGAGTGAGAGGAATAAAGTAAGTGAAAGAGAGGAAACATGAATGTAGAATGGCATCTTGTTCAGGACTAATTTCCCGCAGACACCCAAACACATTCGACAGATGCTTAAGTTTGTAAGAATCCAAGTATTTAACAAATCGTAAGATTGTAGTCGGTCTTGTCATTGTCTGTATCTATTATAAATGCTGTTAAAAAAAAATTACTCCATGACAGATATCACTTATAATTATGTTCAGATAGATAGAATTTGCAGAGAAAGGACATCTGGCATCGCAAAGGTTTCGACTATTTGGGCAGTTTTATATTTGCCAAGAATTCAGAAATTTTCAGCTATTTCTATATCTATCTATCTACATATATATATATATATATATATATATATATATATATATATATATATATATATATATATATTTTGTTCCTATTTATCTATCTCATTCTGTTCCTATCTATCTCATTCTATTCATATCTATCTATCTATCTATCTATCTCACTCTCTCTATATATATATATCTATCTATCTACCTATCTATCTCATTCTGTTCCTATCTATCTATCTATCTATCTATCTATCTCATTCTGTTCCTATCTATCTATCTATCTATCTATCTCATCTCATTCTATTCCCATTTATCTATCTATCTATCTATCTATCTATCTATCTATCTCATTCTGTTTCTATCTATCTATCTATCTCATTCTATTCCCATCTATCTGTCTCATTCTATTCCTATCTATCTATCTATCTACCTATCTATCTCATTCTGTTCCTATCTATCTATCTATCTATCTATCTATCTATCTATCTATCTATCTTGCTATATTATTTTCTCTCTTTTCTTTTCCCTCTTTTCTTCTGTCTCTTTCTCATTCTCTCTAATTCTCTTAACCTATCATTTTTCTCTCTCTTTTCTTGCTTACCCTTCTCTCTTCTTTTATCGCTTTTTTCTCTCTGTTTCTCTTAATGTCTCTTTTTATTTATCTCTCTCTCTCTCTCTCTCTCTCTCTCTCTCTTATCTTTGTTTCGTATTCTTTCTTCTTCCTGCTCTTCCTGTGCCGCTTTTATTTCTTCCTCTCTCTATTAATTTAATTTTTTTTTTGCTTTTTCCCGCTCCTTTCTTCTTTCTTTTCCTCTGATTCGTTCTGTCTCTCGTCCTCAGAATTTCTCGCGCTCATTCACTCCCTCTTTATTTATTATTCTTGCCATTTCTCCATGTCTTCCCACTGTTTTATCTATTTATCTATTCCAAGCTTTTTTTTCTCTTCTTTTCTTTTATCAGACTCTTATTCGCCTTCTCCCCCCGCCTCGTTTCTCTTCTTCTTTCTCTCGGTATTCTCTTTCTAATTTTCTCTCTTTTTAATTCTCATTCTACTCTGTATATATTTCTCTATTGCTAGATTTTATTATCTACTTCTCTCTCTCTCTCTGTCCTTTTTTACTGTCTCTCTTTTAAAGTTGGCTATAGTTCTTTCTTTCTTTCTTTCTTTTTCAATTTCTCACACTTTTTCCTTCACTTTTTCTCTTTCTTTACTTCTTCCTGTCTCTCTGTTTTTCTCTGCCTCTCTATTTCTTTCTCTCTCTCTATTTTTCTCTCCATTCTTTGTCGTAGTCCCTGTCCGACATTATCGTTCTCCTTTCACCTTTTACTTGTTCTTTCACTCTCACTCTCTCTCTCTTTCTCTCTCTCTCAGTCTCTCTCTCTCTCTCTTTCCTTTCTTTTCCTCTCTGTTTGTCACCACCTTTTGTTCTGTCTCCATATCTTTCCCTCTTCTTTCTTTTTCTCACTCCGTTTATTTGGCGGGCAAAATTAATTCCAACTCGGAACTAATTTCACCTCGGAATTAATTTCAACTCGTAACTAATTCCGACTTGGAAATAATTTCAACTCGGAAATAATTTCAACAAATTTATGATAAAGTAGAAAAAGTTTACTTGTGATGCATTTCGTCCTTAAGGATTTCATCGGACTAAATTTGTTATGTTGGTACGACTACACATGCGCACTCACCAGGGATGCTGGTAATTTCAGAATTTTTAGTTTTATATATAAAAGATAAAAAATAAAACATTCCCAGTCCCCTCGTTTGTGCGCATGCGCAGTCGTACTAGCAAAACAAATTTAGTCTGATGAAGTCCTTAAGGACGAAACGCATCACAAGTAAAAAACTTTTCCATTTTTTTTTTATACAATTTCTCCATATATATATATATATATATATATATATATATATATATATATATATATGTGTGTGTGTGTGTGTGTGTGTGTGTGTGTGTGTGTTTTTAAAATCGTTTTAAATAAACGTCTGTATATATATATATATATATATATATATATATATATATATATATATATATGTATATATATTATGGCTTTTAATTTTTTAACGAACTTAGGGTCGAAAGATATCGTTGCAGTTTCTATAACAAGCCAGTTTTTTATGTGAATAGAATATAAATCTACTATACAACCCCCAACTTGGGGATTCAGAGTTGTCCTTCTCTAGACCAGTTAACATCCAAGGCTATAGAAACCGGTCTGTCCTACTATTTACCGATATATATATATATATATATATATATATATATATATATATATATACATGAGGCACGGTGGGATATATATATATATATCTATCTATATATATATATATATATATATATATATATATATATATATATATATATATATATATAAACAAGATAAAATAAACCGAAATGTCTGTCACTTCCATTTAGCATAATTTTCAAATTTTCTGTATCCTTTGAAGCATTGTGCTTCAAGTTGCTTACACATTTTCAAAAGTTCATATTTTGATATTTTTGTTCGACCATCTCAATCATTTTCAAGAAACAATGGGGTTCCTGTGTATTTGTTAGAATTCCTTTGTCTATATCCTGGTTTTCTTTGGGAAGCTGCAACTTTGTAATAATCTAGCATTACCTTTTGTGTAACGGTTACGGAGAATGAGGTCGCACAAAATGAATGTCATTTTTGTTATTATATTATTCGATTTATTTATATGTATTTATCTTATATTAATATAATATATACGCACATTAATTATATCAAATGCTCTTCAAGATACCGTCATATATGGTGAATGGTATTTTAATTAAGGTGGGCTGCTTATTTTGTATAATGTGCATGTATATTTGTATTTGCTTTTGTGTGTTGTCTGTGGAGGGGTTTGAAATTGTGGATTAAATCCGATAAAATTAGTAAATAAGGAAAAATTATTAAAAAAAAAACTATTATAATTTAAATATTTTTTTCTATTTATTTAACTTCAACCGAAATGTATGGAACTGGAGCACTCCAGAGTTTTAAATTCTATTTTGTTTTCTTCATTTTTTTGTGTAGATTTACGATAATTTTGTGATTTTTTAGCCGTAGCTTAGATGTGACACAAGGTCCTGTGAGGATCGAACTCACTGTTCACTCGTAAATGATCCACCGAGACAAACTTGGTAATCATGACGCCACGCCGAAGTGCCCGTACGTATGCTAGTATGTATGGGTTTTAAAATGAAGGAAAAAAAAATTGGCGAAAGTTATCTTTCACAAGGAGATTGACCAACGGTCAGTTTTCTCAAGGAAGGCAGTATAGACGTTACAGGGACTTGATGAAATTCAGTTCCAATATTACTGCTGACACGCTGAGAGGCGATAGCATGAAATCATTCAAAATCGCCAAAGAGCTGTCACGTGGGTGTGAAGTATGTTGAACGCTGTCGCTTCGATCAGCTTCAAGAGCGCCGAAGAGCCTGCGACACCAAAACCAAGGTCAATGTCAGAAAGGTTGTGACTTCATATGCTCTGTGTGCCAGTTCCAATGTCGCTTGCGGATAGGAGTAGTCAGCCATCATTTAAGGCACGGCCATCATCATCCTTTTTAGGTGAAGATATGAAGAAAGAGGAAGTAGAACTAGTGGATAAGCCAGTATGTTCTGCCATGTTCTTATATATATATATATATATATATATATATATATATATATATATATATATATATATATATATATATATATATATATAGTATAGGATTGGTGTACACGGAATAAATTCCAATAACCTACAAATATTATTCTTAAAAGATTTCTCAATAAAGAGTAGAGCAAATATAATTTATTCGAAAATTATAATATAAATATATTATAAAATGTAGAATAAAGCGTTTTAAAAGGTTCAAATCGATCAAACATCCCTCAATAGGGGAAACGCTGTTACATAAGCTGGAATGACCAATCAAATGACAAATATATCAGAATTCAAAATAATCATTAATGCCTTTTTCTACATTCAACACCATCACTTAATAAGACACCAGATGTGTTGAAACAAAATGGCTATTTTTGGAGTGATTTTATAACATATTTATGTTATAATTTTCGAATATATATATATATATATATATATATATATATATATATATATATATATATATTAGAATAAAAAAAAAAGAACATTAAGATATATAATCCGGTGACCTTGTTTAATATTTTTATTTGAACAAAACAGTACTCAATGCAAGTCTACAGAGCATAAATTTTAAATTAATTCTATAATTGAATTTGAAGTTTTTAGTTTCTGTTTTTACAACATAGTAATTCCTGTGTAGCGATGGAACTATATTTTTAAATTAGTAAATACATATATATATATTTATTTATTAAAGACATTTTATTATGTTTAACGTTGTTATTTTATAGATACAAGTATTTAAGCAAATGCTCTGTTTATGATAAACAGTATTAAATAACATTTACCGGTCTGAATGTCCGAGAAATTTTCATAGAAAATATTCGTTCTTTGACAAGATTCGAACCTGCATCCTATACGGAACCGTCATATACGCTGACGTGCCTTACCGCTAGGCTACAAAGAAGCGTTCGGCAGACAAGGTCGAATTTACTGCTTATAAACTCCAATTTTCCATGAATCTCGTACATTCATAACTGCTCTGGCGTATCGAATGTAAACAAATGACGTCATCCTATACGGACATAATAAAATATCTTTAATAAATAAATTGTCGGACCTTGTCCATTTCTTAATATATGACGTCATTTGTATAGGATGCAGGTTCGAATCCTGTCAAAGAACGAATATTTTCTATGAAAATTTCTCGGACATTCAGGCCGGTAAATGTTATTTAATACTGTTTATCATAAACAGAACATTTGCTTAAATACTTGTATCTATAAAATAACAACGTTAAACATAATAAAATGTCTTTAATTAATAAATTGTCGGACCTTGTCCATTTCTTAATATATGACGTCATTTGTTTACATTCGATACGCCAGAGCAGTTATGAATGTACGAGATTCATGGAAAATTGGAGTTTATAAGCAGTAAATTCGACCTTGTCTACCGAACGCTTCTTTGTAGCCTAGCGGTAAGGCACGTCAGCGTATATGACAGTTCCGTATAGGATGCAGGTTCGAATCCTGTCTATGAACGAATATTTTCTATGAAAATTTCTCGGACATTCAGGCCGGTAAATGTTATTTAATACTGTTTATCATAAACAGAGCATTTGCTTAAATACTTGTATCTATAAAATAACAACGTTAAACATAATAAAATGTCTTTAATTAATAAATTGTCGGACCTTGTCCATTTCTTAATATATGACGTCATTTGTTTACATTCGATACGCCAGAGCAGTTATGAATGTACGAGATTCATGGAAAATTGGAGTTTATAAGCAGTAAATTCGACCTTGTCTACCGAACGCTTCTTTGTGTCTAGCGGGTAAGGCACGTCAGCGTATATGACGGTTCCGTATAGGATGCAGGTTCGAATCCTGTCTATGAACGAATATTTTCTATGAAAATTTCTCAGACATTCAGGCCGGTAAATGTTATTTAATACTGTTTATCATAAACAGAGCATTTGCTTAAATACTTGTATCTATAAAATAACAACGTTAAACATAATAAAATGTCTTTAATTAATAAATTGTCGGACCTTGTCCATTTCTTTAATATATGACGTCATTTGTTTACATTCGATACGCCAGAGCAGTTATGAATGTACGAGATTCATGGAAAATTGAGTTTATAAGCAGTAAATTCGACCTTGTCTACCGAACGCTTCTTTGTAGCCTAGCGGTAAGGCACGTCAGCGTATATGACGGTTCCGTATAGGATGCAGGTTCGAATCCTGTCTATGAACGAATATTTTCTATGAAAATTCTCGACATTCAGGCCGGTAAATGTTATTTAATACTGTTTATCATAAACAGAGCATTTGCTTAAATACTTGTATCTATAAAATAACAACGTTAAACATAATAAAATGTCTTTAATTAATAAATTGTCGGACCTTGTCCATTTCTTAATATATGACGTCATTTGTTTACATTCGATACGCCAGAGCAGTTATGAATGTACGAGATTCATGGAAAATTGGAGTTTATAAGCAGTAAATTCGACCTTGTCTACCGAACGCTTCTTTGTAGCCTAGCGGTAAGGCACGTCAGCGTATATGACGGTTCCGTATAGGATGCAGGTTCGAATCCTGTCTATGAACGAATATTTTCTATGAAAATTTCTCGGACATTCAGGCCGGTAAATGTTATTTAATACTGTTTATCATAAACAGAGCATTTGCTTAAATACTTGTATCTATAAAATAACAACGTTAAACATAATAAAAATGTCTTTAATAAATAAATTGTCGGACCTTGTCCATTTCTTAATATATATATATATATATATGTATGTATGTATGTATGTATAGGGGTCTACTTCAAATAAGAAGTAGCCATTATAATAACGTTTGAAGTATTAAAAATGTCAG